TGCCTTTGAACTGTGGAGTGTTAGAAGAGTGCTGAATATGAGATGGACTGCTAAAATAATAAACATGTGTATCTTGGAGAAGAAGTAGCCAGTGTGCTCCTTGGAGTCATCTTGTGTACTTTCTGCATGTTGCTAGGAGAAATCATTCCTTAGAGAGGGACATCATGCTTGGAAACGTGGAAGGACAGTGAAGGAGAGGAAGATCCTTAACCAGGTGGATTAACACAGTGACTGCAATAATGAGCTTGAACGTGTCAGAGACTGTGAGGATGGCACAGGATAGGATAGGATTCAGATCGGTTGTTCATAGGATTGTTATAAGTCAGACTTGATTTGATAGCACCTAACAACCAAACATAGGGTTTTCCCCTATGTTGTAAGGAGGGACAGGTCCTTAGAGAGGGATATCATGCTTGGGAGGGTGGAGGGACGGCGTAAGAAGGGAAGACCCTCTATGAGGTGGATTGATTCAGTGACTGGGGTAATCGGGATGGGTGTGTAAGAGGCAGTGCAATTGGCACAGGATAAAGCAAGGTTTACTGTTGTACATAGGGTTACTATGAGTTGCAAGCGACACGACGGCATATAACAATAACAACAACAACAACAACCAAACAATAGCAAAAAACCACTACATGATCATCTTAATAGAGGCAGAAGCTCTTCCCTATCTGACACTCCACTATCTTCTTCCAGATAATCTTCATCAGTAAAGTCTCAGTTTAGGTATTACCTTTAGAGAGCCTATACAGCCTGGCTCCTAAGCTTGACAAAGTCTCAGTCTAAATTTTATTTGGCATGTACTTTATTGTACAGAAATCCACTAGTCAGCTGTGATGTGTTTGATTTCATTTTCTGAGTATTACTGATGCTTACTTGGTGGAATAGATATACATTTTTGCATCCAGAGTATCTGATATATTACGGGTGATTAGCAAGTGCTCAGCAGGGAGCTCTGATGGAGTAGTGGTTTCATTGCTTTCTGAAATGTAGCCAGTTCTAATCTACCAGCAGCTCCAAGGAAGGAAGATGGCCAGTTCCCTCCCATGTGATTTACAGCCTCCCAAAATAAACTGGAGGAGCAGCTATGAGTGGGCTTTGACTCAGGAGCAATGAGCTTGACTTTTGTTGGTTTCTTACGTATTTCCCCCCAGCAAGTGCCTTCTGGAAGAAGCTAAGTTATGGGTACAGAGTAACATGCTGTGCTGTGCACATCAGGGCCTGTCTTCCTGTAGTTACTATAGTCTTGTGTTGAAGAATACATCTGCAAAGCATCCGAGATCACTTGTCTCCCAATAAAACCTGTTTCTAAAGATGTGTTCACCCAAAGTCCCAGAAGGAAAATGCAGACAAGAGACATAAACACACACACACACACACACACACACACACACACACACATTGGGATGAACATGGCTGCAGCATGTCAGTTTGTAGAGCACTCACTCCTGTGGCATGTGTTATGAACAAACTTCCCCATGCCCTCTGAGACAAGTGCAACTGTCATGCCTATGTAGGGAAAGTCATTCAGGGAAGATGACTGGCTCAGTCCCATGTGTTTACTTTGCATATCTGGAAGCTTCTCTAAGTGCTATAGCTACTGCACAAATGAGAATCAGACTCTGATTACACATTCATGGGGTGAGAAGTAAATTGTTTTAATTGCATCAAAACTAAGTAGCATAAGTGTCAAAACTATATTATCTACTCAGTTCAAAGATAAAAACAGCACAGGAAACAAAGTATTTAAAGAGTTAAACATTAAAAGTGTGAGGACATCATCATAAGTAAAGGCTCACCTATTTATATAGGTTTGTCCTCCAAATCAAGCCTCAAAAAATAATTAACCCAGTTTGTATTTGATCAGGTAATGTTGAAATAATTTGAGGCACTCTAATGTCTGCATGGCATGCCTAGATGTCCAGAGAGAAAACAGGCAGGATCTAGAAGTTTCATCGTTTTGACAGGGATATAGGAAAGTCAGGTCAATTTTCTTAAATGTTTATAGAAGCTCTGGTGGTCTAGTGCTAAGAGGCTGCACTGCCCTCTGAAAGCACATGGTTCAAATCTGTCAGCTGCTCCATGGAAGAAAGATGTGATATACTGTGATATACTGCCTCTGAAAATCTACTAGAGGGTCAGATATGGGCCATCTCCAACTTGATGGCATACACTACCACCAACACCAACATGACCACTTAGTGCACAAGTGGCCAAAAGCTCTAAGGCAGTGCATTCGTCCATCCATTGGAATTCATAATAAACCCCTTTACATTTGGGGCATGAGGAGAGCTGGGTGGGGCTACTGAATGGGGAAGCCAATTAACACATAGTGGGACAAGAAAAGGCCTTGCCAATCAGACAGAAAGGACATGCCTCATCTGGGAAGTGTTACTTGGCTGGAAGAGGTAAAGGGCCAACACTTAACTCCACTTTGAAAGCCTGATTTTGTCCACTCTGCCCTAGAGCCATCCTAGGACTTCTGGATGCATCTGAAGTTATTTTCGACTTCTGAGTAAGTTAGCTGGCTTTCTTTCTTTTTTCTCACTAGACATTCTTAACTAAACTCAACTTAGGTCTCTAAGCCAGAGGGCTGGCTGAGTAGGGTCAACAGGTTTTTCTAGATGCATTCAATCTAAGGATTATTGTCTGATCCTAGAAAGACACCTGACCAGATAGTGCTCTGTGGCAGAGCTCAACATACAGAGGCTATTTGCACATTACTTGATGTGACTTTGGAAAGTAGTAAGGGCTAGGTCTTCTTTCCAGGAACCAGTACATGCTGGATATCTTCCACTGGTGCCTGTGGTGCATCTGTAACTGCTCATCCTAGAGTCTGACTTGGACAACTATCGACAGACTCTTTGACCTCCTTCTTCCTTTGAGTCTAGACCAAGGACGGTATGGTCATAGAATGGAAAGGATTGTGAAGAGTATACTGGCTCTGTCCTGCCTGGTTACTGTGGACTGACTGCGACTGTGGACAAAGGTCATGAATCCTCCTGCCACTAAGGTCAGTTTTGTAAGAACCTTCCCACTCTCTGCCATGGGTTCAGCTTACACTCTAAACTCTTTTGAGTAAAGTGGACCATCTGTCCTCTACCCATAACCAAATGACACATATGAGTCATTTCTAGGATCCATAAGGACTTCTTCCTCCTTTCAAGGTGTCTTTCTTCATGCCCTGTGACAATGTGAAAAGCTTCCATCCTGCTGCTGTAGCCACCACAGGCTCCCAGATTGCACCCTTGGCTCCCCTTCCCCCTTATCACCAGTGCTTCTTTATGAGGTGTTTCTGATCTCAGTATCATGTCCTTAGGCCCTGCAGCATGTGTATAAGCCTCCACTTGTCACTGAGTCCTCCCTGGTGCTGCCCATCAGACAACCCTGATCTTACATACCTCCTCCCACCTGGAGCCCCTGCAGAGGCTTCCTTTCCTTCTGCCCTGTTCCTTGCCCTGTGTAACTTAACCCTTCCCCTCTCCACTTCAATAGAAACAGTGGCTCTTCTCAAATTACTTCTTAGGGTGTCAAAATAAGAAGAATTTCTTAAGAGCTAATGTTTATCAGCCTTCATTCTTTTGCCCTTTCTTGCTTTTAATTCTTTATCACTAGATTTACAGGTAACATCATTACATGTAGAGAAAAGATTGATATTGTCAATGCGTTCATTTTATGTGGGTGTATAATCAATACCCATGGTAGCAACAGTCAAGAAATAAAAGCATTAGGGAAATCTGCTGTTAAGGACCTCTCTAAAATGCTAAAGAACAAAGATATCAGTTTAAAGACTAAGGTAGACCTGATCCAAGCCCTGATATTTTCAATTGCTTCCTATGCTTCTGAAAGTTGCACAGTGAATAAGGGTGACCAAAGAAGAATCGATGCCTTTGAATTGTAGTGTTGAAGAGTACTGAATGTCTAATGAACTGACAGAAGAACAACCAAATCTACTTTGGGCATGTTGTCAGGAGGGACCAGATTATGGTAAAAAACTGCATTTCGAAAAAGTTCAGAGAAAGAAAGAAAGAACTTCAATGGGATGGACTGCAGTAAGATTTGACACACAATGACTGTAATAATGGGAAAGAGTATATTAGATATGATGAGGACAGTACAGAACAAGACAAGGTTTCGATCTGCTGTTCATGTTGTTGCTATAAGTCATTGTTGACTGGATGACATCTAGCAAGTTACAGTTGGCAATTTGCCTGAGGTCAGTAAGTAAAAAGGTAGTAAGCAGATAGGATTTGAACCAGGAATCTCTGTACACAACTCTGAGACCATAAAGAACAGAAGTAGGTACAGTTCCAGACTCCACATCTGTCTGAGGCCTCATCCACAAAGAGGGATACAGGTAAACCCTGTGTGCCAAATCTGAGTCAACAATCTGCTTATCGTCAATACTAGGCAATCATAATCCTGCCTTATACCCATCAGAGAGAGAGATTTTAGAGGCTGTTATGCAGCACTTTCTACCGGATGCTCAGGATTTTGATAGTTTACAAGTTCTGCTATCCAAGGTTTCTCTTAAAATGGGACCTTAAAAATTGCTCAAGGTGTTTGCTAAACTCTAGATTATTGACTTCTCCTGCAAAATTCCTGAACAGAGGACAGGTGATGCAAGATTCCTCCACTTCATGCACATCCTAGTGAACCTCATGGAATCTTCTGACACTTGGGCTTGATCAGAGATGGAGCCCCTGTTCTACCGACTAACAAACCACCTGGTATGCTGGGTGTCCTCAGGCCACTCACTGTACAGTGATCCTGAAGACCCTCCTGCAGTCTTCCTGTCCTGTCTACCCAGGCATTGTTCCAAACCTGAAGGTCCCTGCCACAGATCTTCCCACCTGGTCAGTATTAGGCTCTGCCTTCTCTATAAGGAGTCTCTGCTGTCCCACACACTCATTGGCACAGCTCACAACCCTGCCTTGATGCTTAGAATAGATCAGCCTTCACCACAGCCACTCCCCCCAGAGTCAGGAGGAGCTTCTTGCCTGCACAGCCCAGAGGTAGTCCAGCCGCAGTTTGAGGTCCACCTGCCTGGAGTGCAGGCCCAGTGCGAAGGAGAAAAGCAGGACAGCCAGGAAAGGCTCGTAGCTATGCAAGGACATGGCAAGGCCCCTGGAAAAAAAGAGAAATTGGGCTTGGCCCAAGCTCATCACCACAGAAGATCAACTTTCAGAGGGCTTGCAGACTTCATGGTGGATTCCTTAGCATGACAGGGCTTAGATTAGACCATAACCTGGACATAAGGATTGGCATAAGGAGCATCCAGGGGGACAGACACCTATCATTGCAAAGTCTGGGTTCATATAGAATATGGTCCAAAGGAGAAAATGGAGAAGCCATCAAATTAATACATATATATCTCACAAGTGCTCTTGAGTTTTATTCTCAGAAGATGATGTAAGACATGGCTTTGGATCAAAACGGATTGTCCCTGAGCCACACTCACCCAGCTGCTCCCACGGGCCCGCTGAGCCCCAGCACAAAGATGGACAGCATGGTGAGCACTAGCAGGAGAAGTGTCTTGGGCCAGGAGGGGACACGCAGGAAGGTGGCAAGTGTGAGGGTGCCCACAAGGCAGCAGAGCAGAGCGTGGGGCACCAAGGTGCAGGGTGGGCCAGGCAATGTGGTGCTTCGGCTTTCAGGTAAGAGGACCACCAGGGAACTGTTGGGGCTCCTGGTCCAGGCCCAAGGCATGCAGCCTACCTGGGGGAAGGAGGAATAGAGGCCAATGTGAGAAAAGCAGGCAGTGGGACCCCCTACTAGCTGCGGCCCCCTCCTGTACCATGCCCTCCTGTCTCCCTATTCTGACCATCATTGGTACCACTGGCTCTTTTGTCCATTTTGCCCAGTTTGTTTAAAGTACCCCAAAGGCTTTACAAACTCTTCAGTAAGGTGGAAGCCACTCCAGTTTGGACTCTACAGCACCAAGTCCATTAACACTCCTCACCTCCATTTCAGCTTCATCTTGCCACTGATACAGCTTCTGTTCTCTGTACATCTGAGGGTAACAGTGTTCTCTTCCATCAAACAGCTTCTCCCCTCCTTGGCTGGTCTCTGGCTATTTGCTGATCTTAATTCCCACCCTCACTTCTAGTCTGGACACTCAAGGGGACATCTCTACGTGAATCCAAGGTCTTTCCTGGCCCTGAAACATACCTAGATATATCAACCTACTTAAGCTTTTTTTTTTGTCATTTTAATTACTTACCATACATCCTTGGGCCACTGAATAGATCAAGACCACAATGAAAATACACAAAGTGGTACGGATCTGAATTGTCAGGCACCCTGGAAAACACTGACCAACAAAACATTAATTTTTAAAGTATTCTATTACAAAGTTGATTCATGTACAAAGTAAATAATTCCCCCAGGGAGCCTGTTTATCACTGGAATTAACAGAATATATTAAATTGAGGGATAGCTATTTTTCAAATTTTAAATATGATATTATTTATAATTTAATATGACAAAATTTGATATTTTAAAAATAATCTTGAATCATTACATCTGAAAATGGTAAGAATTTGCATTTATTTGTGTCATCTTTTATGTTTTAATGAAATTTTATTATTTTTCTAATTACATTACTCTTAGAAATTATATTTTAAATACATTTCAAGACATTTAACAAGCAATTTCACAAAGTTTGGACATCTTATATTCAAGCTCCTAAATTAAGAACACAACTATAAACACTCACAGAACCCTCACAGGTGACAACAGCAACTAGCCATAGCGGCAAGGGCAGAACTGCTTTGAGAAGTGTGAATGGTACCTTTCACCCTGGTCCTGTGAAGTCAGATCCTATTTTCCCTGCTCAACATGGAGGGATCTAAAGCTCCAGGATCGCCAAACCTGATGTCACTTATTTTACAAAGTGGGTTGTTCATGATCACAAAGCTAGTAAGTTATATAATTGGATCTTGGTTCTAGGCTGCATGGGTCCTCACACTCCTCTTACAAAAACACCAGTCTTCCAAATATTCTCAGAAAGAGTATTTCTGCTCTGTAGTGGTATAGGTGGAAATGTTCTTAATGATCTTTCCTTTATTAATGGAGTCCAGACTGCATCTCTAGCCCAGCCCATGTCATCTACTTCTATCCCCAGTTAGGCAAGGCATAACACCAGATCTTGCAGTCATTCCACAGACAGACGGAATTCCTCACTAGCCAGATGTGCCCCTGAGGTCTTCATTACAGTCAAGCTCCACTCTGAGTAGAAGGCAAAAAAGGACTTGATGTCTTAGTAATCTACTATTGTTACAAGAAGAAGACCATAAACAGATGTTTTTAACAAACAGAAACTTATTTTCTCACAATTTAGGAAGTTCACAGTAAAAGTTTAGAGCACTGGCTCTAAGGGAAAGCTTTCTTTCTCCTTGTTTCTGGGTGAAGGTCCTGTCTCTTCAGCTTGTTTTCTGATTCCTTTCAGATTGCCAGTTGGTTTATCATCTCCTCCCATCTTTGCTTTCATCTACTCCATTTATATTTCATAAGAGTTTGACTAAGAAAACACCTTATATTGATCCTAACCATTGACATAGAAAGACAATCATTCCCAGGTGGAATTATAACCACATGTTGTTGTTGTTGTGTACCATCGAGTCAGATCAGCTGATCTTCCAGCTGACCCCAGTAGGTTTTCTGAGGCAGTTAATCAATCATACAGAAGGAGACTGCTGATCCTTTTCCCATGGAGCAGCTGATGTATTTGACCCACGTTCCTTTGGTATTGTAGTGCAGAGTTTTACAACTAATGGGGGAGTGGGAAGGGTAAATCACAATTCAAACTACAACAGTTGGTGACTACAAAAATCAAGACCTTTCCTGATAGAACATGAAGGAATCAAACTGACTGCATCTGTGGAAAGAGACTGTACAGAAGCTCAATATTATCAGTCAGCACAAGGCCAGGGGCCAACTATGAAACAGGATGCTCATATGAAAGTTCCGTTTGAAACTGAAGAAACCAAAGTAAGCCCACCATCTTGCATATATCCTGCCTGAACTTAGAAGCCATTTCAAGAGAACATTTGAAGCATTGAGTACTAGTGATAGAAGATGAGACAAGTTGTGGGACATTATCAAGGATAGCATACATGAAAAAAAGAAAAAGGCCACTAAAAAACAGGAAAGAAAGAAAACACCAAAACAGATGCCAGAACAGACTCTGAAACTTGCTCAAAAATCTAGAGAAGCTAGAAATGATGAAATAAGAGAACTGAATGGAAGACATAAAAAGCAGCTTTAGAAGACATAACAAAGTATTGTAGTAAAATGAGCCAAGATCTGGAGATGGAAGATCAATAGTGACAAAACTAGATTGGAATTTTTCAAGTTGAAAAAACTAAAGAATAAATTCAAGCCTCAAGTTTTAAGGCTGAAGGATTCTATGGTGAAAATATGTAATGGCGATGAAAGTGTCAAAGAAGATAGAAGGAATACCCAGACTCGGTGTACTAGAAAGATTTGGTCAATGCTCATTCATTTCAGGGAGCTGTATATGATCAAGAACTAAGGGTACTGAAGGAAGAAGATTAAGCTGCAGTTCAGGCAATTGTAAGAAAATAAGACTCCAGGATATGACAAAACAGAAATTGAAGCATTTAAGCCAATAGGTGCAGCTCTGGATATGCTCACTTATCTATGCTAAGAAATTTGAGAGATTAACTTAGCCAACCAATCTAATCAACCTAACCAACTGACCGGAAGACATCTGTGCTCATCCCAAAGAAAGAAATAACCATATGGTCCAGCTATCCCAGCACTGGCAACATATCTTAAGGGAATCAGAGTTGTGAAACAAATAGATATATATTCACCCACATTTACTGCTGCATTATTCACAATAGCAAAGAGAAAAACAGCTGAAGTGTGTGTCAAAAAAGGAATGAAAAGAGAAACTGGGATACGTTTAGACAATGGAGTATTGAAGAATTAAGGAAACACTAAACAATATGGATGAGTCTGGAGAACATTATACTAAGTGAAATAACTCAGTCATATAAGGATGAATACTGTATAAGACCACCGTTATTAAAACAGAGTGGTTAGGGACTGAGTGGGGAAGGGTTTCGTATTGCTTTGATGTTGTGAATTATGCCACCAGCATTTCAAATACCAGTAGGACTCCCATGGTGGGCATGCTTCAGCAGAGTAAGACAGACTAGAAGAAAAACCTAGCTATTTGCTTTCCAAACATAGCCAGTGGAAACTCTATGAATCTCAAAAGAATATGTTTGAAATAAATAAAACTCAATTTCTTTGTCATTGAACTAGTTCTGACTTATAGCAACCCTTTATCAGGTTTCCAAGTGTATAAATCACAATGGGACGAGACGGTCAGTCTTTCTCCATAGAGCTCAAGATAGGTCTCCAGACTGTAGGAAAATATCTCTTCTTGTTCAACCACAGGCGCTGCCATTGGCAATTGCATCTCCTCCTAACTGCCTGATAAACCACATTCACTCAGCTTCTCTCTCTCAACCAGAGGTATGGCCTTTGGGGTAGCAAGGCAACTCACTGAAGACTGATCTCCTTAGGTGTGAAAACACTCCAGTAGCTGCAAATAAGAACTAGAGTATAACAATGATTGTGAAGAAAACACATTTTATTCTGTTGTATATGACATCTCCATGAGTTGTTGTAGATTTCCATCAAATCAGAGATGACCCATAGTTGACCCTCAGCTGCTTTTCAGTTTAATAACATAGGAGGAGATTGCCCATCTTTTTTCATGAAACAGCTGGTGAATTTGAACAACATGTCTTCAGTATTGCTGCACAGCTCCATGAGCAGGCATCATAAAAATCACCATGATAAAAATTCTCATTCTTCTTATTTTTCTTAAAACTACTTAGAATAAGTATACTATGTTTCAAGCTCCACTGCAAGTGACTTAGAAATGTTAACTCCTTTACTCTTCATATCAAGGCAATGAAGTACATTCTATTTAACACAGATTAAGATCGAAGCTCAGTGAGGTGAAGCACTACCCAGGGTCTAAGAACTGGAACATACTTCCTGGATATAGTGTTATTAAAGCTGATTAAAATGAAAGTTCTCAATGATTATTACATGGGCCACACCAGCCTAAATGCCTAGCATAGAATCTCTGGGGTCCAAGTGAGGATGACAGTCTATATTATTTAACCAGAGGCATTTTGGGGTATATAACATTGTCATTTGTACATACTGCCAACTATTTGAGCAGTCATGTCCACCCACCTTATCTCTCTCTGTCTATAGCAGCCTCGCCTCCTACCTTCCATGTAACTTCCATATACATTCCAAGCAGGAATTAACCTTCTTCCATCCCTCCCTAACTTCTATCCCCGCCCTAATTGTCCCATGTGTGGATCTCAAAACCCAGCAATAAGGTTTATTTAGAACTTGAATAACTGCAAATTTGAGTAATAAATGGGATTCAACTCTTTCCATTTTTGAGGTTGATCTTTACTTCTTAAGAGTAGTTAGTGACTGTTGGCTAAATTGCAGCTGTAGGAGTGTCAAAAGCCTTGGCTTTGCATGTTTGATATTTATGGATTGAGAATTCATGGTACATTTACACAAGGGAATACTATGCAGCATGCAGGAGCAATAATTTTGTAAAGTGTTACCTAACTTGGGAGGGACTGGAGAGCATTATGCTGAGTGAACTAACTCAGTTCCATAAGGACAAATACTATATAAAAATTATTATTGTATAGTGAGC